GGTCATCTGAAATATTTATTAAACTTGGTATGAAACCGAAAGGATTATAAAGCCGGAACTAGAGGTTAAGCCAGCGGACAAACTTGAATTTCCCAGAAACAAAGCCCATACAAGGGACATCAAAGGAACCATGAAATTCAAACCAAACTATCAAAACTAGCACTTCACCGTTGAGACTACTAAAAATGGGAAATACCACAAGTTCAACCAAAAACAGTATCCAAAGGCAAAGAAATGGTGGATGGACATAGACCAAATCAGATTACAAAAAGACAAGCCAAAAGGCGCGAGTCCGACAAGCCATAAGACCAAACGACACACCACCGTAGCTGAGCTGAGAAGTCACCACCTCAAGCAGACAAAGCATGAGCAAATTAAGAGGGACCAAAACAAAGGGATCAATCAAGAAGAAACTCCATCCAAGTAACGAATGCAATAGAGTTTGAAGGCGCGATAACATCCTAAATAGTCTAAATTGAGCCTCGAGACCGCTCCCCTCTTCAAAAACCATAAAAAACAAAGCTTGAAGTGAAGACTCTTTACCAAAGAAAGTAACCAAAGAGACCGGATCACACGAGCACAAAAGATCAAGAGTTGAAGGACGCTAAGAGGAGGCGCGTTCATGAGCGGAGAAACCGCATCAGAGGACAACCCGACGCCAATTATTCCACCAAAGCCCAACTCGTAGTACATTAAACGAAATTGCACATAAACTGGAACTTGAACCACTTTGTAACTAACCAAATCACCAACACCATTGCCACAATCCCCATAATTCACCGGAAGAACTGAAACCCACAAGCAAACTACACAAAAGAGCCTAGCATAACTTATAAACAAACCAAACCAAGGAACTACAAAGGAATAAGCTTCATCTCCAAACCACAACAAGGAGGAGAAACATAGACAAGATCACGAACACACAGATTCTGGACTCTATCATAGCCATCCTCCAAACACCGACCTCCTACGAAGACTAACTTCGAACAAGCAAAATCCAGATCTGAGCCGACAATGGTAGAGAAAAGCGGGCTACAACGAACCGAAGACCAAGCGACGACGAACTGAACCCAACATCTCCTCAACCACCATCGAAGACCTAAACAGAGCCAAATCACTGAAACCACAAGCCAAAAGCCTCGGATCTGAAACCACACCCCTATGAAAAACCTTAGATTGAAAACTAGAGGTAGAGAACTGATAAATCTAAAAGACAAAGCCTTAATACAAGAGCTCCAGCGTCTGCGCTATGAAAGCCGCCGCACGCCGGAGCCAAACACACAAATCGCTGGAAAAGTTACTGTAGGTTTTGTTTTCGTTTTCATGAGGTTCTCGATTTTCCTGTCATCTCAGATCGGAAAATCCAGCTATCGTGACTTATTATGAAGAAGACGATGCGGTTCGTGACTGCGAGTGAGAGTTTTAGGAGATGGAATTGAAAGATAGTATTAAAGAGTTTA